AATCCTTAGCCACTTAGCTTTACGAATCTGCCCCTACCCCAGCTAAGGAATGAACTGGTACGCCTAATATCGGTGGCTCATGGAATGGCTGGGGCACATGATTCAATCGGCTCAAGGCCTTGATATTTGGCTGATTAAATTACTGAATCCTTAGTCGCTTAGATTCACGAATTTGCCTTTACCCCAGCTAAGGAATGAACTGGCACGCCGAATATCAGTGGCTCATGGAATGGCTGGGGCACATGATTCAATCAGCTCAAGGCCTTAATATTTGGCCGATTAAATTACCAAATCCTTAGCCGCTTAGATTTATGAATCTGCCCTTGCCCCAGCTAAGGAATGAACTGGTACGCCGAATATCGGTGGCTCATGGAATGACTGGGGCACATGATTCAATCGGCTCAAGGCCTTGATATTTGGCTGATTAAATTATTAAATCCTTAGCCGCTTAGATTTACGAATCTGCCCCTGTGCCAGCTAAGGAATGAACTGGTACGCCGAATATCGGTGGCTTATGGAATGTGAGCATTGATGAGATCACCTCGGGAGCGCAGCCCTCGTAATCAATATGTGGGGTGGGGGCTACGTGCATAAGGATGCCATTGTTGCATTATAATCCAACAAATTGGGAGAAGAAAAAAGAAGTGTGGACGACTGTGGATCTCTAGAAGACTACTCTTCAATAACAGGGGGGAAGGTAGGACACTCGCAGAGCTGGATATAGAGATGAATCGGGGTGGTGAGCCTGCACGCGCAGTGAGTAGGACGTCGAGGGAGCGTGAGAAACTCCAATCCCCACGTCACCGAAGTAGGTCCTCCCGAAGAGAAAATCAGCAACAAGGTAGCTTCCCTCGTTCGAGAGGTGAAACCAACGCGACACCGCGTCCATTGAGTTTTTCGGTGTTTTTTGGGAACAAACCAATGACGGAGGCAAATTCCATCATCCGCGACCCAAATGTAGCAGTTGAGTTTGCGCGACAGATTTTTCTGTTAGAAGTTCAGCAGTCGATGGCGGTCAACCAGATTTTGAAGTGCTTCAAGAAGGCGTTCATGGAGCGGTGAAAGGGCTATACACCGCCTATGAAATCGGCATGCGTCTACGTGCCACGCGATGAGAGATAGAGCTGAGAGATGAACATATTCAAAACTTAGAGGCCCGCGTGGAGAAAGTCGAGCGTGAACTGAGGAAGGCCAAAACTGTCGAGAATCTATTGGCAAGGGAGGCTAATCCGATTGTGGAGGAATGGGTTACCTAACGGATTTTAAGTCATGCGATTGCCGATCGAGAAACGGCTAGCATGTTCGCGATAGAGGCTGCCAAGACCAGGGCCCATGAAAAAGGTTTCCACGACGGCCGAAAAATTGGGATGATAAGACTAAGGAGAAACTCACCGAGGAGGTCTGCCGATGCGAGAATTGTGGATTTAAACACGGGTGGATCAATGCTCTGCAGGCTGCAGAGGCTCTCCGGGCAGCGGGCATTGATTTGGTGTCGCCGCTATATCAGGGTCACAATTTTCTCTTCGCGGGTTTCGAAGTTGAGAAGAGCGACGACGAAGGTGGTGCCGAATAAAACATATTGTAACATTTTAATGCATATTGGATGCGAATCATGTATTCACGATCAATTTTTAATGAAACATATTATTTTAAATGCTTGCGTGTTATTTCAGTCTATGTTTATAAATTCAGCTATGATTATCTTCATTTTATGCCAACTTCGTTTATGCGCGTCAATCATAATATTGATGAAGAAGGCTCTGAATTCAAATGCTCTTCGTGGAAAGCATGGTTGGCACGACAGGCATTCCGAATTTGGAGGCTTGTTCGGCCCAATCGTGAATTTTGCAATGACACATTTGGGGCTTCGAATTCGGAGGCATTTAATTGACCAATCATGATATCCACGAAGGGCGCTACAAATTCGGAGGCTTATTCGACCCAAATGTGTCTTGCACGTTTTGGGCTCCGAATTCGAAGGCTTTTAACTTGGCCAATCGTGATATCCACGAAGGGCGCTGCGAATCCGGAGGCTTATTTGGCCAAAACATGTCTTGCACGGATGGGGCTCCGAATTCGGAGGCTTTTATCTTGGCCAATCGCGATATCCACGAGGGGCACTCCGAATCCGGAGGCTTATTCGGCCCAAACATCTCTTGCACGGATGGGGCTTCGGATTCGGAGGCTTTTAACTTTGCCAATCGTGATATCCATGAAGGGCGCTCCGAATCCGGAGGCTTATTCGACCCAAACGTGTCTTGCACGGATGGGGCTCTGAATTCAGAGGCTTTTAACTTGGCCAATCGTGATATCCACGAAGGGCGCTCTGAATCCGGAGGCATATTCAGCCCAAACATGTCTTGCACGGATGGGGCTCCAAATTCGAAGGCTTTTAACTTGGCCAATTGTGATATCCACGAAAGGCGCTCCGAATCCGGAGGCTTATTTGGCCCAAACATGTCTTGCACGGATAGGGCTCTGAATTCGAAGGCTTTTATCTTGGCCAATAGTGATATCCACGAAGGGCGCACTGAATCCGGAGGCATATTCGGCCCAAACGTGTCTTGCACGTTTGGGGCTCCGAATTCGGAAGCTTTTAACTTGGCTAATTATGATATCCACGAAGGGCGCTCCAAATCCGGAGGCTTATTCAGCCCAAACGTGTCTTACATAGATGGGGCTCCGAATTCGGAGGCTTTTAACTTGGCTAATCATGATATCCACGAAGGGCGCTCCGAATCTGAAGGCTTATTTGGTCTAAATGTGTCTTGCACGGATGGGGCTCCGAATTCGGAGGCTTTTAACTTAATAAACTGAATTTCACAGTGAGGAAATAAGAAACTTTGCATTGTAAAAATGAATTTTGTACATGGTGAACATTCAAAACAAGTTATCATGCCTCCACAAGTCGGCTTAATGATAGAATTTACGCAAATGCGTGGAATTCCAGGGACGTGGCAGGCGTCTTCCAGACATGTCTTTGAGCCGATATGCCCCCGTCCCAGCGACGGAGTCAATCTGATAGGGGCCGTCCCAGTTAGGACCCAGTTTTCCATCAGCTGGATTCCTAGCAGCAGGAAGCACTTTCTTGAGGACAAATTCTCCTGGTGTATAACGGCGTAACTGAACACGTTGATTATACGACTTGGCGAGCTGTTGCTGGTACCGTGCCATGGGTGCGAGATCTGGGCATTCTTCAATCAGAGTCAAGTCTAAGGCCAACATCATGTCATTTCGGCCCATGTCAAAAACCTTCGATTTCAAGGTTGGAAGGCCGATCTCTAGGGGGATGATTGCCTGGGTTCTGAAGCATAGAGCAAATGGTGTCTCCCCAGTGGATCACCTCATAGTAATGCGGTAAGCCCACAGCACACTCAGCAACTCTTCGACCCATCTGCCTTTAGCTCTCTCCAGCCTTTTCTTGATGTCATCCAAAATGACCTTGTTGGTGGCCTCCAATTGACCATTTCTTTGGGGGCAAGTCGACGAGGAGAAGTAGGGTTGGATACCATAAGTGTTGCACAGTTCTCTATATACGCCGCAGTCAAACTGGGTACCGTTGTCAAAAACCAGTGCTCATGGTATGCCGAACCTTGTTATGATGTTTTTCTATACAAAATGTTTGACGTCAGAATCTCGAATATGTGTTAGTGCCTCTGCTTCGACCCATTTCGTGAAATAATCTAACGATATCAAGCCCCCATTGAGCGAACGGCCAAGGACTGGTGATGGAATTCAGCTCTTCGGCTGGCAGATGAGTTAAGGGGGAGAACTTCTGGCGTTGACTACATTTCTTGACATAACATTCGGCGTCGATTCGCATGGTCGGCCAATAGTACCCTTGTGATACGGCGCGGTGAGCCAGAGAACGTCTGCCCAAATGGGCACCACAACTGCCTTCATGTATTTCAGAAAAAAGTTCCTCGACTTTGTCAGGGTGAACACAATCTAAGTACGGCCCGGAGAGAGATTTTTTGTAGAGCTTCCCCTGCGAATCCAAATAGTATCAGAGAGCTTTGTTTCAGAGCTTGTGTGCTTCTTTCTTATCCATCGAGAGCTATTCTGAAGATAAGAATGCGGCGATAGGGTCCATCCAACTCAGACCTGGCTCGATAACGCTGACCAGAACTGGTTCTAAAGAGAAAATGCTCGGCTCGAGCGCTTAATTTTTGAGTTGATAGTAGAGGCTAGGCAAGCCAGGACGTCTGCATGCGTGTTCTGATCCCGGGTTATTTGATTCAATTAGTGGTGATCAAGTTTCGCGAGCAAAGAATTTGCCAGCAAAGAATTCGCTGTTTTCATATAGGCTGCCATGCGGTCATTTTTGGCTGCATATTCCCCTTTCAACTGGTTAATTACTAACTTTGAGTCACAGACAACAAGCAGACGCTTCACACCGAGGTGAAGTGCATTTCAAAGGCCGGTTAACAGTGCTCATATTCGGCCTCATTGTTTGATGCGTTGAATCCCAATTTGACGGCCCCTTCGATTATTACCTCTTCAAGGGTCATGATCACTACGCTAGCCCCACTGCCACGCTGGTTGGATGACCCATCACAATATATCTTCCAAACATCACAACATACATTCTCCAGTCGGGCTCAGTTTGCACTTGATCAGACTTAAAGTCGGCCAGGGATCCTGTGAACTCGGCAACAAAGCCGTCAAGCACTTGCCCTTTGATGGAAGTTCTGGGTAGAAACTGGATATCGTACTGGCCGAGTTCAAAAGCCCATTTCGAGATGCGCCCAGACGCTTTTGCGTTGCGGAGTGCGGACCGGAGGGGATATTCTGTTGGCACCTCAATGGTGTGCCCCTGAAAGTAGTGCATCAGTTTTCTTGTAGCCATGACGAGAGCAATGATAAGCTTTTCTAATGGGAGGTATCGTGTCTCGGTGTCGACCGTAGCTTTGCTCATATAGTACATTAGTCGCTGCTCCCCTAGTTCTTCCTTTAACAATACAGCGCTGACTGCCTAGTCGGATACTGCGAGATACAAAATGAGTGGGTCGTCGGCTGCAGGAGTTGCCAAGAGTGGAACTGATCGGAGGTAAGATTTCAGGCCGTCCAAAGCGGCTTGGCAGTCGGGAGTCCAGTCAAATGCTCTGCCTTACCGAAAGTGTGAAAGAATTATCGGCAGCGATCGGTGGAATGGCTGATAAATCTGTTGAGCGCGGCGGCCATCCCCATTAACTTCTGAACCTCTTTGACTGACCGAGGGGATCCAAGCTCCAGAATTGTCGTGATCTGCCTTGGATTGGCTTCGATTCCGCAGTGGTTCATGATGTAGCCAAGGAATTTGCTGGAGCTGATGCCGAATGCACACTTAGAAGCGTTCAACTTCATCTTATATTTTCCAAAAATGCCGAATGTCTCTGACAAATCGGCTAGATAGGAGTGTTTTTCCTTGGATTTGACCACCATATCGTCGATGTATACTTCCATGGTACGGCCGAGTTATTCCTTGAACATGGAAGTCACTAGTCTTTGATAAGTTACCCCCGCATTCTTCAACCCAAAAGGCACGACCTTGTAGCAATAGGTTCCTCTTGGGGTGAGGAATGCAGTTTTTTCCTAATCCTCTGGATGCATGGCAATTTGATGATAGCCTTTGTAGGCATCCAAGAAGCTCATGCGTTGATGATGTGCCGTTGCATCAACAAGTTGGTCGATTCTGGGCAAGGGAAAACAGTCCTTGGGGCAAGCTTTATTCAAGTCTGTAAAATCCACACAGACGCGCCAAGAACCATTCTTCTTTTTTACGACCACAGTATTGGATAACCATGTAGGATAAATTACTTCGCAAACCGCCTCGGCGTCAAGTAACCTATCTACCTCTTCAACGACGATCGAACTATGCTCCGCGACGGACCTCTGGCTTCTTTGAATGATTGGCTTACACTTTGGATCAATGTTTAAGCGATGTTGGGCCACTGATGGATCTACTCCTGGCATCTCGTATAGGGACCATGCAAACACATCAATATTTCCAAGTAATAAGGCAACCAATTCCTGCCGTTCGACGCTATCCAAGGAAGTGCCGATCATGAAGAACTTGTCAGGATTTCCATTGATTTCGACCCGATGTAGGGCTTCGGTCGCTTTTTCACTTGGGACCCTCCCAATGTCTTCAAGACTCTCCCTATCCGGTACCTCAATTGAATGCACTTCCAGTTCCCTCGGTCTCTTTGTAGCTAGAAGATAGCATGCCTGCGCCGATTTCTAAGAGCCACGAATTTGCTCAATTCCCTATTCAGTTGGAAAACAAAGCAGTTGATGGTAGGTGCTCGGCACGGCTTGCATCGTATGTAACCAAGTTATGCCCATAATCAAATTGTACGGCGAAGGGAGCTTAACAACCATAAATTCTACGTCTACTGAACTGGTTCCAGCCCTCACAGGTAGTGTGATCTTGCCCAAAGGGTACTCCGGGTTAGCATTGAAGCTGAAAAGTGGATAATTAGCCAGAGATAGGTCTGAATCGGTAAAACCAAGCTTGATAAAAGTTTTGTAATACATTATCTCTGAAGTGCTGCCCTGGCCAATGAGAACACGCTCGATGATGAATCGGTTTACACATAGCTTGATGGCGAGGGGATCAGTGTGGGGGTTGGTCACTCCAGCCAAATCACTGTCATCGAAACTAGTCCTTCCAGTGTCACGTGGCCATTTGCTGGTGTCATTGGGCTATGGGTGCTGGATGGAAACTAGATTGTATGCACCTCAGGTGGTGCCGGAAAGCTGTATATCATATGAATTACACCAAGAGGGGGTGACTCCGGCCATTGAGCTACTATATTTGTTGAATTGTTCTTTCGGACATATTGCGTAAGACGGCCGTCTTGCACCAATTCTTCCAGGTGATCTTTTAAAGAAAAACAACTATCGATGTCATGGCCATGGTCTTTATGGTACTCGCATCGTTTATCTTGTCTTCTTGCATCGGGGGGTCCCATCATCTTAGGCGGCCACTTGAAGAACGGAAGGTGTTGTATTTTTGAGAGAATCTTATTGATCGACCCTGTCAGCTCTGTGTATTTCTTGCCCAGACGCCTTGTCCGCCTGCTATCCACTTGATACTGCTCACTAGCTCAATGCGGGCATTGGTCGTTTGATAGGCGTGAATCATGCCTTTTGTCTCGTTTAGGTCGATTCCGCTGCTCGGGGCTTCTTGACGGCACGACACTAATCGGCTGAACAATTCCCGATGCGGCCGAATCAATGGCTTTACGTCCGGCTTTGACTCGAAGGGCATCATTCTCTACTTTGCAGTACTCTTCGACCTTCTTCATTAATGCCCAGACGGTTTTAGAGGGACGCTTGGTTAATGAACTGCGGAGGGGGCTATCCGAATGCAATCCCATCTTAAAGGCGGTGATGACCATGGAATCATTGCAAGCATCATCCACTAGATTAAAGTACTCCCAATAGCGGGCCGAGTATTCGCGGAGAGTTTCTTCCGGTTTAATTTGCATGGCCCAGAGAGAATCGGCTTGCTTTGGTTGGACCTCATTGGTGATGAATCTTGCCCTGAAAGACTTTTGGAGTTGGTGGAAGCTCTTAATCGATGCCGGCTCCAGTTTATAGTACCACCTTACGGCCAGTGGTCCCAGACTGCTTGGAAATATCCGACACATGAGGGCTTCATCGTCAACATGGAGCGTCATCACTTGCTTGTAATGACGAGTATGATCAGTGGGGTCTGATTTTCGGTCGTAGAGGGTAAACAACGATGCCTTGAATTTTTTTGGGTAGCACGGCCCTGGCAATTCGTCGCACGAATGGGTCATGTTTATCTTGATCCGAATCATCGTTTCTTCGTCTATGCTGTACATATGGACTTCCTTCGGATGAGCTGTTAACATCAAGGCGCCCTTTCTTTCTGGGCTCCGGGGATGGTGATTCCGAATCACTATCATTATTGCATTTCTGAAGTTGACGTCGACGGCCATCTTTCTTTCCCGGAGGTCGATCCCGATTTTGGCATGCGGCATGTTGGGATTTCACCACCTTCAAGGCCAAATCCTGGTGCGATCGCTCATTCTCAGCCATCATGTTCTCCAGCCGCTGTTCATTCTGCTTTGCCTGATGCATAATCGTCTGCATTATCTCATGCATTGAAGTTGAGGGTAAGGTCTGAGCTGCTGAGTCAAAGTTCAAGGCACGTCGTGCGGCGATATTCTCTGGTCCTAGCATGTTTCTTGGAGTGAGGTCATCTATCGGTGTGGTTTCGTCAGCGACTATCGGAGGATCTTCCGTTACGCCCGCCATGGATGTACTTGAGTATTCCCACAGACGGCGCCAATTGTGGAGATGTGGTTTGGAAATACTCTATGGATCCTGTAGGACGCTCTTAATCCTCAGCTAATCACTTAGAAAGGAATGAACACTCCAGTTGGGGGTGCCAGAATTAGCACTCCGACGGATAAGTCAGTGTATACTCCCTTGGTTGCTTGTAAATTAAGTTTCTTAGGTTTGTTCTTACGTACCTCTCTTTGGCTGATGTTCCTCTATTTATACTTGCCTCTAGGCCTCAGGGTCTGGCCCACCTTTAATCCACCGTGTAATTGTTTACTCGGCTCCTTCTATTGTAAACCAATTTCCACTCGGCTCCTCGCTCAACTGGTTCTTTGGCCAATTAGGATGCTCGACTTCTGATTCGTACAAAACAGAGCTGAATATAATATATCCTGATCTTCTAAATGTTTATTCGACCTCTTTGTATCCCTTGATATTCGGCTCCCACACCAGCCACAACCACAACAACAAACTACTCCACTGAATTTTGAGACAGACAATGTTTCAATATTGATGGAGCCTTGTTACCAGCCGCACCCATAACAACAAGCTACTCAATTGAATTTTGAGATGGACAACTTTTCAATGTTCCTTGATCCTTGTTACCTGTACTAGTTTGGCTATTTCTGATCTGTTGAGAGCGTTCATACACTTTTGTTGTTCAAGTTTTGCGGGTAAGATTTATAATTATACTAGGAATTTAGGGAAGTATTGGGGAATATCATCATATTCATACCTGTATTTTATTTGAACTTTACATTTTTTTCATTAGCTATGTAACTTTTTCTAGAAATTTCCACAAAAAAAATTTGGTGAATGTATAGAGCTCTGTCTCTTCCTCAGTTTTGTCTTGCTAGTGTGACAGATTTCTCGGTTTTGTCTTGCTAGGGGTCTAGTATTTTTTAAATATGATATATACACATTATCTTTATTTGGTGATCAACATCTATTTGTGTCACTTTCTGTATTTCATATTCTATGCATAATTGCTTTAGTGCAATGTTGACAAGGGATGAGCATGCATATGGAGAAGTTGAGTTTTTAACCAAGAAAGGACTCGTCATTTGCAATCACTTTCACAACTTCTATTGTGGGTTGGAATTGATTAAAACACAAATCTTAGGAACAGTGAATAATCATAATCCAGAAATACTAATAATTAAATATATAAAAGTTAAAAAGGTGGATCAATAGTTACATGTTATACTTGCTTCTATCTTTTTAGACAATTACCAATTTCGGGCTGATGACGGGAATAAAAAAATACTAGTGACCAAGTTTATTTTAAGTATTTATAGGGGGGGAGGGGGGCGGGGAATAGCATTTGGCCCTTACAAAATTTATATAGTTTTATTTTGGTCCCTTGAAAATCTATGACCCCTCCAAAATTTATATAAGTTTACCTTGCATCCTAAACTTCACCAAAAATTCATTTTGCCTATACTATATTTTGAGTATTTATAATAGAAATTAACATTTTTTCCCCATGAAAATCTTTATAATTTTATTTTAATCCCTAAAATTCAAAACGATTTTTTCTGGAGCACCACTATATGGGATTAAGCCCTACCTGTACTTAAGGAATTAATTAATATTAATTAATTGGGGTGGAGGCCACCTCGTCACTATTTTAAGGTTACCTATTGTTTTGACTTGATAATTAATTAGTGTACATAAAACTGAGAAATTATATATAATCGAAAAATTAGTCAGGGTGAGTGCCAAATACCCACTGGCAAAAACAAAAATCTACTACAAATGCTTAAAACAAATTTCATTCCTAAAGAATGTTAATCCACTATCCCAATTTTATATTAGGTTTTAAAAGGAACATTCAGACTGCATGTCTAATTTTAAATTTTTTAGCTAAAAGAACATCAATTTGTCCAAATGATACATATATGTCTAAATTTTATTTATTTATTTATTTATACGTGTCATTTTTCTCTCCACCTTATTACCATCAGCCGCCACCGCCAATCACCACGGACAATATTTCCAGCAATTTTTTTGACACCGATCACGTTTTCTAATATGTCCTTATCACCAAAATTGTTCTCTCAAAAAGTAAATATTTATTTTCTCCGTAAAAATGTATTTATTAGGAACATTTTTAAAATATTATCGTTAAAAGTCTATTTTTTTTTACTTTGATACGCCATTATATTAACTCATCGTCCGATAATATAAGAATTGATCTATTGAAATTTATTTCTTAAAACTATTATATATTGTAGTGTAAAGAAGTTAATGCTGGCTAATGTCACTCACATTTAGGAACTAACACATCCAATAATAACACAACAAAATTTTTTACCAAAAGTATTAAATGATTTTTGTTCACTCATTAAAGTGCCTCTAATGATCAAATCATGTAAAATGTTAAATATAAAATTACAAACCTACGACATTTACACTCACCGCTTTAGAAGTTCGCTCTAATCAACATCTCATCAACGTTGGGTGTTACTTAGCACGATGGTTTTTAGGTTGTCTCACGCAAATAATGTTTCTTCGTATAATCTAATTAATCTAAAAAATATTTGGAGATTGGTTTCTGCAATAATGAAAAATGATCTGTAGCTCGAAATTAAGAGCTCAAATGGCCCGAATAAAAAGCAAAGGTGTTTTTTCTCTCCTCGGACTCCAAAACCATCTGTTTTTACTCACTCTCTCCTCAGACTCCAAAATACTCTACTCACTCCAAATGCATTCGAGCCCTTAACTTAATTTCTCTTTGAAATCCTCTCATCCTTCATCCCTCTGTGAAACATCCGACTCTGTGAATGCGTAGAGACAGATCTTGAGCTACGGGTGTCAAATCACAAATGGAAATTCATTTACCTAGCAGAACAAAAGGTAAACTCGAAATCGCAAAAAACATAGGGTTTATGTGTTCACTTCAATTTTCGAACAAATTCGATGCACTAGACTGTTTGTGGTATGATTTTTCTTGCAATTTGTGTTAAGGTTTTGGTTTTGAGTTGAAGGTTTAGAACATGTTTTCGAAATAGCAAAAACATAGGGTTTATGTGTTGGTTTTATGTGTTCGCTTCAATTTCCAAACAAATTTGTTGCACCAAACTGTTTGTGTTATGGTCTTGCTTACAATTTGTGTTAGGGTTTTGGTTTTGAGTTGAATTTTTAGAACATGTTTTTCGACCTTATGAATGAATGATTGTTAAGGTTCATAAAAACCCGGGTTTGGGCATTATGGGTTTTGCCTTGAATTTTTTTTTTTTTTGTCATGTTGATTTCGATTGTAAACCCATATTCTAACTTTTGAATGTGGTTAACTTAATTTTTCTAACTTAATGTTCAAATGTGAATGAACATCTCTGACTCAATTTTTGTAACTTAGTTTGCTTCACAAGGTTCAACTAGAAAAAACATGGACAACACAATGCTTAAAACTGTGCATTTGAAAGTTTATTATCTGTTGATGAAATCTGTTATTTACCAAAAATAAGGATTACTCTTGGATATCTGTGTAAGAAGGGTATGAAATCTATGGAATATGGATTACTCTTGGATATCTGTGTAAGAAGGGTATGGAATTTGTCTATGGAATATGGATTACTCTTGGATACCTGTCTAAGAAGGGTATAAAATTTGTCTATGAAATATGGATTACTCTTGGATATCTGTTTTCCCAAAATACGGATTACTACTTGCACCTATCATATCAGGTCTCCCACATATGCAATCCTACCATAGCAAGAAAACTACACACGTTCATACCCTTTTTCGCAGTTATGCACTGAAAAACATTAATCCTGAATTTGTATGGAATTTTCTCCTTGAAAGGTTTCCAAGCTCCTTTGTTAAACTACTGGCCTTATTAATTTGCCACTGCTTTCTCTATGTATCATGTCTATTTTGTATGTTGTATACAGATTAAAAAACGGCTTGTTCCTCTACTAACAATAGTAACATAAGATTAAAACCAAGAATGTGTGATTGTGGAAAAACAGTTGCCACGTGTATTGTCCGAACCAATGAGAATGGAAATCAAGGGCGATTGTTCTTTGTTTGCCCATCAAAATATGTAAGGAAATTTGTTTGTAAATTTGTTTGGAAATTGATTAGCCTGATTTGATTAACTGATTGTCATGCATGGTAGAGTAATAAGGAACACTGCAATTACTTCAAGTTCGCAGATGATGATGACGACGACGTGATCTCCACAATCCGTTTCAATGCTGCACTTCGTAAAGCTGTAAGAAACGAAGAATTTAACGATCTAAGAACAACGGTTTCAGAGATGGATAATGAAATTGATGAGCATGGTAGAAGGCTTCGAAGGATGGAGAAGAATTTCAAGGCGATGCTTTATGTTATTGTATTTTGTATTGTTTTCTATTTTATAATGTAAATTATTCAGTTGTTAACTTTTTGGAATTTGATGGATGTACTTATGGATTGAATGGACTTGATGGATTATGGGTATGTGTTGTGATGATTTGAATGTGGGAATGAAAAAACTGTTTTGTTTTCTATTGTTGTTGATTTACATGTTCTTGAATGTGAGAAACAAATTAATAAGGCCAAAATACATGTTATAAACCTGATCTACTGTTGATTTACATTTTTTTTTTTATTCAAACATGTTCTTGAATGTGAGCGACAAATTAATAAGGCCAAGATACACGTTCTAAACTTGATCTGCTTGTTGATTTACATGTTCTTTTTTTATTTATTTATTTATTTTTGATTCAAACATGTTCTTAAATGTGAGCAACAAATTAATAAGGCCAAAATACATGTTCTAAACCTTATCTTCTTGTCGATTTATACGTTCTTTTTTTTTGTGAGCAACAAATTAATAAGGCCAAAATACATGTTCTAAACCTAATCTGCTTTGTCCATGAACCAAAACCTGATCTGTCCATGAACCAAAACCTGATCTGTCCATGCTTTTACCTAATCTGTCCATCAACCAAAACCTGATATGTCTATGCTTTTACCTGATCTATCCATGAACCAAAACCTGATCAATCCATGCTTTTACTTGATCTATCTATGAACCAAAACCTGATCTATCCATGTTTTTACCTGATCTATCCATGAACCAAAACCTGATCTGTCCATGCTTTTACCTGATCTGTCCATGCTTTTACCTGACCTGCCCATCAACCAAAACCTAATTTGTTCATGCTTTTGCTTGATCTGTCCATCAACCAAAACCTGATTTGTCCATGCTTTTACATGCTCTATCCATCAACCAAAACCTGCTCTATTTGTGATCAATATGTTGTTACAAAACCTGTTCTGTTTTCACCCACAACAAAAACCTGTTCTGTTTTCACCCACAAATCAATCAAAACTCTATTTTTAGCAAAACCTGCTGTGTCCATGAAAAACCTGCTCTGTCCATGAAGAAATTGTTGTATTCGGATTGAACAGAATATAACAAAAAAATGAGATTAAAGGAAAAGTAGTAATTAAAAGAAAAGAGAACAAAATAAAGAAAAATTATAGGTGAAACAAGATGACACACTGATATAGAGCTCAGTATGCAACAAAGCTCATTCATGATAACACCAATAGAAAAACTCTTATTTCTCAAAAAATTTCATAGAAGACAAGCCAACACAACTTCAAAAGTATGTCAAGTGGAGGCTCTTAGTTTCATACAATTTCATACATATCCCACAAATTCAACTTTCACTCATAATTAACCAAAACTTGCTTCATTTACAAATGAAGCAAAACAAAATCTAAAAATTGTAACCAACGTAAATGAAACCAAACTATCCAAACTGTCCTTTGGTTACAAATAATTGTCATCAAATCACTAATTCGGCACTAAAAATGAAATGGGGCATTTGGATCCGCATCTATATTGAAGTCAATAAATTTTGAAGCTAGTGTCGAACTTTGACTGCTTATATTGATTTCTGCTTGACTATGAGATGTGCTTCCAATATTGTCCACCATTTGCATTAGGGTAACCCCTACCTATAAAAACAAAGTGCGTATTACAAATATTGTCCAGAAACATATTGACTAATATGAAATTTAATGGATGTAAAAAAGATTTGTACTTATATCTTCAATACATACCGGTACATACATACTCTCTTGCGTGCCATCCATGCAAGGAAAGTGCTAAGATTGAGATTACGGCACCTTATGATGAAATAGTACCAACATGCGATTAACAATTTGACAGATTAAAATAAAAACAAACAAAATCAATATAATTATGAAAATACATACCGGATGGTACATAGTGTCTTGCAGCCTTCCGTAGAATCAAAGTTTAAGTTACGAGGTTCACCTTGGCACACCTTACGACCCTTTAGTAACAGACATTGGTTAATAGTTTAGGTTAAAAATAATTAGAAATTTACATATCAAACGAAATTTACATATCAAACTTTTCGTGTGCATTTGTAGCCTTCTTATTCTTTTCATTCAACCGATTCACGATTTCATCGACTTTGCTAACCTTCCCTTCTCAAGGTATTGTCATTATAACAACCTAAAAATTTAAGTTATCTTTTAAATTTTATATTAGTATTATTTAATTATAAATGATTTCAAAAAATAATTTTAACTTTATATTATTATTCGATATTATTTTCTGAGTATTATGATATTTTTATTATATTTTTCTTAGATTAAAATATACTGAAATATAACATTTTCTATACAACAAACTTGCGTGCCTCCCAAGTTTCTTGCTGCTCAAGACTCTTGCCGTCCACGCCACGATTCACACTATATATATATATATATATATGTCAATCATCTATGCATCCCCCAAGCTCTCTAATCCTCTCTCTGGTTTCTAGTTTTTTATATATACAAAACTTTGAATTTAGTTTGGAGTATTTAGTGGGTTGCAATGAATGAAAGGTAAAAATTGGAATTAACATTTAGGTGAGTTATATTATACCTTGAGTCACCATAATATATTTTACGTATATTTTGAGTTACTATAATTTATTTTACGCAATTTGTGTTTTATAAATTATATTAGCATTTTTAATTTATGAATCTTATTTTATATAATAAGGAAAACCTATGAATATAACTGTTTATTAAAATGTGTTTTGAGTAATTATTTTATAAGTACCACCAAGGAAGTCTCATACCTTGGGGGAGTTAAATAACCATTGGTCCTCTAATTAGTCACTTTGTGACTCTCTGTCTGTCATAGATCCACTAACACTCTGATTTATGGTGTGGAGCAAAGTGCTATACGGAGATAAGTGCCACACTACTGTGGGAGCCACCTCTAGAGTTCGTACAAGCCACCTCTTGAGTCCATACATTTGTTATGTTCTATACTGTGGTTATGATTTCTGGTGTAGAGCAAAGTGTTGTACGGAGCTAAGTGCTACACTATGGTGGGAGCCACCTCTAGAGTTCGTACGAGCCACCTCTTGAGTCCATACATTTGTTTTGTTTCATTCTGTACCATGATTATGATTATTTTGTTTATATGATTTCTGTATTATATGTCAAATGATCTCTATATTAGATACTCTATATTTTAATATCAAGCTTTGTTTAGCCAATAATTATCCACGGTAAATTTTATGCCCTTATGCTCTTAGTATAATATTTCTCACTCAGGCATGTACTTATAGCTGTTTACCAATTTTCAGAAAACGATGCAATTTAGAAATAGCTTTTGGAAAGTCTTAGAAGCGGGAATGTGGAATAGACACACATAGCACTTTTATAGCATTTTGTGGGGAAGTTGTTTGGAAATACCCTTCGGATCCTGGGAGACGCTTGGGTTCCTCAAATAGTCACCTGAAAGGAAATAAACACTCCGACGTGGGTGCCGGAATTAGCACTCCGACGGACAAGTCAGTCTCAAGCTCTAGGTTACTTGTATTCTAAGTTAAATAAGGAGATTCTTACCCTTCTCTTTTTCTCTCTCTCTTTTATCTGTAGTTCCTGTATTTATACTCATTTACTGGGCCTCGGGGCCAGAGCTTGCTCGTTACTTATTGTCCTCTCTCATATTCGGCTCCATGGATTTACGCTTATCCGGCCTATCTATTGTATTCGGCCTCCTGAGCGCGCCGGGTAACGCCGAATAGTGTCCGTTCTGCAGAGTATGCTCTCCCCGGCATTGCCAGTTATTCGGCTCCCACAATTGCCCCCCAAACTCGCCATTGACAGTAGTTAACTGGCGTGTTTGGTTTTGATTCTGAACAACCAAGACATAAATTAGGCGGCTTTGCCTATCCCAATGTGTCAGAGCGCGCACGTCTTTTTGGTCATCATTATGCTTTCCCGCCTCATTCAGGCACCTTTTGCATTTAATACGATTTGAAACTTTAGTCCTTTCGAATGCATGCTTTTCTCGAATACTTGGGCCTCCTGGATTCCCAGACGGTATCGTTCTTCTGACGCTTTTCTCTGCAACTTTCGTCCGTCTATCCTCGTCTTCTTCACCTGTTGTAAGTTTTCTTTCTTTCTTTGCGATCCTATTTTCCGTGCTTATTTTAGCTTTGGTATACCCTGGGATCTTTGCTAAAATGGCTAAGCACCTGAAAGACCTCCTTTCCGAAGGTCGTATCTCGGGATTCTAACGACATTTTTCCATTCCTGATGATGTTCATCTATCTCTAGTGACGGACAATACTCTGGATATGGAGAGAGAGGATCGCAACACATACAGAAATGCCTAATGCAACACATGCAAAAATGCAACTATAGCAGGCTCGGCTATTCTAAACATGGCATATGGAATGCGGCAACTAACATGTATTCAATTTGGAATTGAAAGTACAATGCAGTTAGTATGATGCGCCGAGCCCGGTGCATGCAAAACAGATGAATGAATGCAAACATGCTATCATACTGTATGCTAATTGAAACATGCCCTAATCTAACCATCATAAGCGGGTAAATAAAAGAGAGAAAGACGTGGGGTTGGAAGACATACATCACACACACGCACACTTATTACAACATTACCCTCGCGCAGAGGGTCCGAAAGAATAAAACAGTCCCGAATAAATATTACAGTCCAAATAATTACAAAATCCTAATTAAATTAAAAATTTAACTAAGAACGCTGTAAACTAGCATGCAAGCTAGGGACTGCCTCGACTTCGCTCCGGATGATGAATGATGCATGCTCGGGTTACTTGGCACGGAAATCCACTGCGATGCCCTAATTAGCCTCTGTTTGCGATTGATGCCGGGATGCTGTGCAAGGCTTTTGAAAGGCTACCGATTCTTGATTTGCTGCAACAGAGAGCAGGAGAGGGGCATGGCAATGTATTTTCACAGATGTATGCATGCCTCGATCCTCGTGCCACCAATCACGCATATCGATGCATGATGGCCGAGGAGTCGAATTGTGCAACTCAATATAGAATGAATGCACATGAAAATAAAACTAAAACCTAACTCCATCATGGATAATCCGGAGTGTCGGTGACTGCGAATTGAGACACGTTCCGTCACTCGAA